TATTACAAATTATCATACACACAGGATTTGCATCATAAATTTCCTTTAAGTCGCACCATCACACCTAACTATTTCCTATGATAACCAAATTATCATACACACAGGATTTGCATCATAAATTTCCTTTAAGTCGCACCATCACACCTAACTATTTCCTATGATAACCAAATTATCATACACACAGGATTTGCATCATAAATTTCCTTTAGACTAATCACACCTAACTTCCAAAATTTTAGAGAATTTCCTGCTATTGTTCGATTCCTTATAAAAGAAGTAGAGTTAGTTTAACTCAGTAGTTCAGAGTGTCAAGACCAGCACTTACAAGCTCAGAATCTCTTGGTCACGAAAAAGTAACTCCAGTGCATGTAACCTCAAGTTAGTGACCTATTTTACTGAGGATTTGCTTGCAATCACCCTTTCTTTTTATCAGTTTTATTTCTTTTGTACTTTCCTGTATAAATAAATTTTATTGTGGCTATAAGTCTGTCTCGTTGTTCAAATAACAACATCAGAGCCTGCCTTGGTCACATATACAAAGAAAGAAAGATGTTGACATCTCAATGTAAAGGCATAATCACTCTGGACTTGTTCCAAAAGATGAGCAGGACAAACTAGGGTGAAAAATTACTTAAAATTAAACAAAAATTCAGAACAATTGGAATAATTTTTTTTTGTCTTCCACTGGAAATTTAACTTACCGGTAGCAAATAGGGCTAGAGTTCACTGCAGCCTGATTGCAATATGGACAAAAAACTGAATAGCACAACAACACTGAAATTTCCAATTTCCAGCCCTCCATTACCATAATGATTTTAAATGACACAAATGACAGTTGTAACTGGTATCATGCTTTTCTTGTGCTGCAATATTTACTTACAAAGCACATTACCAGGTGAAGAACATTGGGTTGTACCTCTGCAACCCCAAACTACACTGTATTCCATAGATAATTTGACCTACACTTGACACCTTTTCTTCAAATTTCATCACATTAAACCTTATTCATAACCATGGGAATTAGCTTTAAGAGTTGAATTCAATTTGACAGAATTTGTTTCCTTCTTTTGAAAGAGGTGATTAAACTTTTCTTTCCTCTTTTTGTTTTTGTTTGTTTCTTTATTTTTTAACACTGACAAATTTCATTTGTACTTATTTCTAGGTGGCTGACAATGCTCCCCTTGAGAAAGTGTGTCTCCTTGGGTGTGGAATTTCAACAGGGTATGGTGCAGCTTTAAACACTGCAAAGGTAGGATTAGATATTATTTTGTTTTCAGATGTAGGGAGAGATTCTTTGGTTTTGTTAACCTGAGTTTGCACTTGGTTATACTTTGCATCTCTTTTAATTTAGTAACATCATTATTGTGGCCACTGCCTTCTAAAGGAGGCGTGATGAGTGAGTGGGTGATTGTAACAGTAGAATTTCAATCTTGACCCAATTTTGACACATTGTTTCCCAGTGCTACTTATTGTTTTTCTATACTTTTTGTGATTTCTGGATTATAGCCACTAGCACATTGTGTTTTCTGAGTTCTTGCTGTGACACCATTGTGGACAGCAGAAAGCAATAAATGTACATCTCCCAAATCATTTCATGATGTGTGGGATTGAAAACAAAGGTTTTCCTTGCAGAATTATCTTGATAGGTGTGATCAAGGCATTGATCAGGAAGATTAGAGGAAAGTTTTTTTCTTTAAAGAGAAAGCATTTTACTGTTTAAATGAGATAGTTAATATGTAGCTCCAAGATATGATATCTTCAGTTTTTGCTATACATGACACTAAAAAAGACGATAAACTTCTCAAATTAATTTTGCAGTGGCATCCACCAACGCCTACTTGTAACTGTAGCACAGGATTTTCGTCGTCTATCCGACTCTTTTTACAATTCAATACAATACAATATTCTTTATTTAACGAAGGTGACGTAATTAACCCGATGAGTTATCTAACTTATGGCCTTCACAACAAACCCACCATCCCACCCCAGGGGAGGACATCCATCACACACTAATTTCGTGTGTGGGAAATTAATGTCTCCTACCCCAACCTTGCAGGAGACAGGACCTCCATTTATTCATCCCTATCCAAGAAGACTAGAATATCTAACCATTTCTTGATGTTATAGAAAGGTAGCAAATTCTTCTCAATTATCTTAAGACCTTGAGTGTTGATTCGGCTGGGGCTCGAACCCTCGACCTCCCGCACAACAGTCCAGCACACTATCCATTGGGCTAACTGGGCAGCAGTCTTTTTCTCTTGAGAGAAACAAATTTGAGGGCTGTTTTTATTTAAATGTCTGTGACGCGTACCCCAGGTCCAGTTATGCTGGCAGCAATTTAGAAAACACACGGCTTGAACAAAAAATTCTTGTTCCGTTGCAAGTATTGAAGCCAGCACAAGTAGCACAAGCATCAACCGAAAGGCAAAAGATCAACTAGTAAAAAGTACTCATGAATATGTAGGATGCAGCAGGTTTTCTGTTTTGTGTGTGTGACATAAAAAATTTTTCTGTAACACTACTTTCAAGGGTCAGTATAAAACCTCTGGACAGTTCCTTTCAATGCTACAATAATTGTGCTATTCCTGTAGCTCCAGTCTTTGACTGTCTAGATATATTTAATGTGAGTTTGCATCAAAATAGGGGAAGTATAAAATTAAAAACTTGGCCACTTTCCTGAATTCATGCTGAAATTAGATTTCTCATCAAAGGATCTACTAGAAATCAGATCCTAGTGTTTGCATAGAAATTTCTGGGGTTGCCATGGGGCAAACATTGCAAGTCGCTAGAAAGAAGTGTGTGGTGAAAGGTTGTGTTATTGTCCAAAAAAACAAGTTTGGAGATAGATCATAGCTTTTTCACCACTGTTTTATCAGAAATGGATTTGGATAATGCTGATACAAGGAAAGAAAAAGTTTTTCGGTGAACAACCATGAAATAAGTCTGAAATCTACAAATTAACTTTTCTTCATAAGCAAGGTTAGTTTTGAAATGGTCTGCAAATTTAGAGATAGAAATAACTCAATTATTTTACATGCATTCAGTCTACTTTTTTTTGACAACAGAGCACTACAACATCTACCTCTAGGCAGCAGAACTTTGTAGTGGTGTGTGTGAGCATTTAATATAATTGTAATAATAATAATAATAATAATAATAATAATAATAATAAATATAATAACTTAATAACAAAAATTCTAACCTAGAACTAAGCATTGATCTTACAAAATGTGATTGGCCTTATCCGTAATCATTAAGTAGGTAAAAGTTCTGACCTTCAACTGTGCAAGTGATTTCAGCTCGTGTATCTCTCTTGGCAATTTGTTCCAGGCACTTGCAGCCAAGAACTTAAAAGAAGTCTGACCACATTTCCTCTTAATATGTAATAGATCTAATGATGTCAAGTCTCTAAGGGATCAACCATGTCTTTGAGATTGTTTTACTAAAATAGCCCGTCAGTTGCTTGGGGCAGTTTATATTATTAATAATTTTAATATATCAACAACGTTGAAATGGTAAATTGGCCACCATTAAGAGTATAAAAGCTGACGTTTCAAGCGTTAGCCCTTCGTCCGGCTAAGGGCTAACACTTGAAATGTCAGCTTTTATACTCTTAACAGTGGCCAATTTACCATTTCAACTTTGTTGATATATTCAAATTATTTCGTTACCCCCACCGATGCAGCCCCAAACAATTTCCTTAGAAACTATCAGCCTTTATTCATTTATATTATTAATAATCTTGTATACATACTGTAACTTGATAAAAAGACGTCTACCATAAAGTTGTGATTAATAATAATAGGTCTTTATTGCTTTTAAGAAAAAAAAGATGCTAAAAGAAGAAAATTTATATAAAAATAATTACAAGGCTATCCATAATAATTACAAGGCTATCAACATTACATAATATAAGACATTACATAATAGAAGACATTACATTAGATAGCTACTCTATATTTAAAAAAGAGCCCATTAAAAAAACTTTTTTGGGTAGTAACCCTGGGGAGTTGACTACTAGGATCTCGGAGGCGCACTGAGCTTTCTTTCATTTTAGAGACAGAAGGGTACAGAGGGTGACCAGGCATACTGGAGATCTTGAATAGTGAGCGATCAACCTCTTCTAATACACTATATATATATATCAATTTGGTAATATGAAATATGTTTACGTTTAAAGCAGTGCTGTAGAAAATTCTGGACCGTTGTTAATTCAGGTATTGAGGAGACGTATATGGATAGACCATATGTTAGTTTAGGTAAAAAACAATTGATCTAAAAATGGAATCTACATCTGGTTGTTGATAGCCCTCTTTGCACAAACTCCTTATCACATAAAGACACTTATTGGCCTCCTGCAGCTTACCCTTAATATGCCTATTGTGATACATTTTGATACGTCTACCATAAAATTGTGATACATTGAAGTGTTGAAACACCTACGTTGCTTCTTTGTTGTGATCAATGAGAGCAAATCAGCATTGATAATTAGCTCAAGACTGGACCCTACAAGGATGAGTACTGTTGGATACTGTTGGATACAAATGGGTTGCTTTAGGAGGGATTCACAACTGATTCTTTGTCCTCAGTTTCTGCCGAAGTACATGTGATTTTGCTTTTCCTGACAAGATCCTCCAAGGAGTCAGAGGAGAAAAGTTGCAGCTCAAAACGTTTGTATTTTTCCCAAACAAATTATCATTTGACCAAGAGATTTCCTTATGTTTTTCATGGCTTATTTCATCCTTTCAAAGAGTAACAGCCTGGTAAAAGCAATTTGCATCTTAACTGAAAATGACTTCTCTCCTTTTAAATTAGGTATATTTGCAGATGTCACAATTTGTTTATTTAATAATTTATGTTAACAAGTTTGAAAACAGGCTGTACATACAGGAATACAACTAAAAAGACTTAGATTAGTTATTCACTAGCAATTTCTGATTTGTAATTTATCAAAACCATTACGCCATGACAGTTTCACTAAGTAGATGCCTTATGCAAGGGGAGAAGTTTATTGATATGATTTTATTTTGTAACATATTTCATGGTGATTTAAGCGAAAACTTACACTTCCCTTGTGTTAACATTATCTTATCCATATATGAAAAAACTGCAGCAAAAAACCATCAATCTCTCTTTCTTGAATGTCAAAACAACCTTTTGCTGCATATTTCCTTCTAGCAAGCTGCAATGTTTTCCCTGTGGCAATCCCAGTAATCTTTGCTCAAACACAAGGATCCTATTACTGGCAACTAATTCACCACATCCATTATAAAATCACTGGTGATCCTTGCAATCTGAAGTTTTTCTCCCATCCAAAGAGAAAGCTTTACTAAAACACAATAACCAATCAGATTTCAAGTCATTTTTCAAAATAACCATTCAAATTGCAGGAAAATGAAGACAACCTTAAGAACTTTTTACAAACCAGCTCCGTACTAGCTCAATGAAGTGTTTTGCACAGACTAAGTAATCCTGTATTTGAGTGACTGATTTGACTAGACCAAACTGCTCTCCTCTCAGTTCAATTACCATTATTTATAAGATTGAATTATGCATTAATTTGCTTTAGATTTAAGAGCAATTACCCCCATAAATATACAGAATCCTCCATCAATTGCAAAATTGCAAAATTTCATAGGTCTTTTCAAGTCAACCTCTGTATGTTTTTACAATCGTGTCAACTGTAAAGTTAGCCTACCTGGGTTCTATTGGGCTCTTGATTTTTGTTTGGAAAAAAGAAGAAATTTTCATGGGTGGTTGTGGGTGTGACACTGTGCTGTATACCAGCCTGCCCTGTGCCCTGTTTTTACATGTTTAACTTGTACACACAACTAAAGATGTATTATCAGTACAGTATTGCAATCTCATAGCACTGCTAGAGTTTCAGCTAGTTTTTGTTGCCCTTTTGTATCTCATGTGAGGGACTATAATGTTTAAAAAAAAAAAACTCTATACTCCATGACCAGTATTAATATTCTAGCCTATAATGGTTTATTATGTGAAGTGTGCAAAGGGGTGGGAGATTTTAGCCGATCAGATTCTTAATTTTTATGTTCTTATACACAGGTTTTTACAGTACACCAGACCTTGAGATAGGCCTTTAAAAGTGACCATTATTTTACCTTAAAGTTTGCAAAAAAGACACAAAGAACATTAAACAAAGCATTGCTATGCACACTTTGAAGTTAAAACATATCAAGACATCAATACTTTCAAAAAGTAAAATGATCTTTTGCCAGTACACAAAGTTTTAAATCAGGATTGCATCATAATTTGGTGTACAAATTTGCTGAAGTTGCATAATTTTTCATTGTTTTGCAGGGGGAACAATGACCATTTGGCATATTTTGAACTTTTAAATTCTACAAAAGGGTCCTTTAGGACGAATGAAATTAATTTTGGAATTTTGCAACGGTCGTTCTCCATAATTATTTTCAGTCACATCAGTGGCTCTTAAGACTTGTTCAATTTACTCCCTTTATTAGGTAGAGCCTGGATCTACTACAGCAATTTGGGGACTGGGAGCTGTTGGTCTGGCTGTTGCCATGGGCTGTAAGGCTGCAGGAGCCTCAAGGATTATTGGAATTGATCTAAATCCCAATAAATTTGCCATAGGTAAATTTTTTGAGAAGTTTTCCCCACTGACACATTCACCCATGATGTTCTTTTTTAACTCTACATTAACAATTATCGAGTCAGACATTGGCTTTTCACTGGACTAGTCAAAGATCACACTTTTCACCATCTTCACCTGTTACATATTACAACATTTAGCAACAGCCATAATGAGGCCCCTCCAAATTATTGACCATCCATCTAATCATATCAGTATAATTATACCTAGAGAAGGGTGTGCAGTCAAATAATGGCAGATCTTTTGTTAAAGAGAGCAAAACTTGGAATGGTAAATGGTGTGCTGATCAGCGAATCCCAATGGTTAAGTTCTTTGAAAGATAATTGAACACCAATAGTTTTTGACTCGCAGTATTGAAACAAATGATTGAGATAAACTTTGTAAACACTCTCTTTAGACATCCCAGTGAGTTGTCTGTACATGCTGTAAAATAAGGTTTTAAAAAAATACAGTGGTAATGATAATCAAACATTTGTGTTAAAAGCTTTGTCAACTAATCTGCTTCTATGGATCCGAAAAGCTTCTTATGAATTGAAACTCCTACTTTAAAAATATAATGAACCAAACTTTCAGTTTTAGTTCCTTGTAATTTTAAAAAATGCCACTATTCTATCATTGTCTGTTTGATATTTCTCTGTGAAATGGAATCTACTTATAGTAGACAATGGATTCAGTTGCATGCAGTGATACCTTCTCATACTTATTTCTATATGGAGGTTGAGATTGAACCAATTTGGATCAGCTGTACTCATTAATTCTATGAGTTTGTAAATTTTTTACAGCTAAGAAGTTTGGCTGTACTGAGTTTGTCAATCCCAAGGATCACAACAAGTCTATTCAACAGGTTTGAGCAGTCACATTGTGGTTGTAAATCACCCAAACAGTCAATTTAATTTCCATGACGTCTTGCAATTTTTGTTCAGTAACAGTTCTAACCAAGGTTAGCAGTTTGAAAAATGTGTTTGAAAAGCTAAATTAAAGGTAAAGTTACTACCTAGTGTATGCTTCTGGGAACATAATCAGTCTTTTGTTTGCTAGAAAGGTTTAAGGACATAATTTACATGTAAAATTACAAGTAAGTTACAATTATGAACCTTTCTTCTCAGTGTAACTGAAATATTAGACAAGAGTTGTGCTGGCAATATTTATTAAACAGGTCTTACCATTCTCAATGGTGAAATTTGTGAAGAAAGAGAAACAATCAGTCCCAGGCTCAGGGGGACAGACTGTTGCAAGTTGCAAACTAATATTTGAAATGTTAACCCTTTATGGGATTACAGACCAAATTGGACTTGACCCAATCCTTTGACCGTTATAATTACCATAAAGTAAATACCCATCCATTCTGGTATTTGGTCACTAATTAGGGAAGGATCTCCGAGTTGGCTTTGTAGTTAATATTATAGGGGTAAATATTGAAACGATTTTGTACAAATTTAACCCATACAGCACCTGATGTGGCTGTTGATTATTCTGATTTGTAGGTTTTGATAGAGATGACAGATGGAGGCCTGGACTACACCTTTGAATGTGTTGGGAATGTAGGAACTATGGTATGAATTTTTTTACTGAGAATCCACAACTTATTTGAAACCACTACTTCATTATTCTATGGATGTGCATAAGTTTGTGTCTGTTGTGGGGTGTTACGAAAACCAAGACCCTCGAAAACGAAGAACTAAGACCCCCGGTCTTCGTTTTCGTAGTACGAAAACGAAGACCTTGTAAACAGAAAACCATAGAAATTACAAGTTGGACTGAATGCATAGAAAAACAAATCCAAGAGCCGAAAGCAGTGGTGGCTGAAGAAAGACCAAGAAAAATCACGCGCAAACTGTCTTAACATATCAAAAGCTGAAATAACAATTACTAGTGCTCGGGGTACTTCTACAATCGTACTTTCAAAAGATTTTCTGCTTTTAATAAAGGGTCTTCCTTAACTGTCCGTAGTTTCTTCACTCCAAATTTTATTTCCATTGGATAAATCAACTTAGGCTTTAAAAGTAAGGTTTATCTCAGCTCAAAAAAATGAGTCTGTAAGTGATTAAATTTGTGTAACTTGAAGAATCCCATTGTTTTCACAGCATTTTTGCATCAAAATATTGGCAACCACCTTGTTTATTGTCTGCACTACAGTTTAAAGTAGAAATCAGATTAAAATGGTCCCCAAATTTGCTTCTGTTGTCCTTCTTCATAACCCTACTTTTTCTTTAAATCCAATCAAAAGTTTGAAGCAAAGCATTTTATCTACTTGGACCATTTTATGCTGTTGAACCATTTCATCTAGGTTGGAGCATTTTATCAAGCTCATGCAATTTTATCGGTTTGACCATTTTAACCGTTTGTATCATTTTAACGAGTTGGATCATGTAACCAGCAGAACCATGTTCTTTAGTTACACCATTTCAACCAGTTGGGACCATTTTTACTGGTTGGACCATTTTAAGTTGTTGGACCATTTTAACCAGTATGACCAATGAGCAAGTTTTTCTCGCACACTATCATTTGAAAAGAATGGTTGGAGACTTTGAGGAAATCGACACGCTAGAAAGCTAGAAAATTCTTAGATTCATGATAATTATTATTGACACTCCCAAATGTTAAGATTTAAAAGTATTCAGATATAAGTTTCTCACTTAAAACTTTGGTTTTAAAATCTCAAAGGTCACACCCAAACCGGAACAGTTTGATAACCGGTTCGTTTGTTGATCTGTAAATGTCAAAACGAATCAGTAAGTCATAAATTGGTCTCAAAGATCTGTGGTAAACCTGAAGGAGATAGACTTCTTTCATTTATGACCTTGTCTAGTCCATATGGCAAGGTTAATCTGTTAAACTAGTCAGGTCTTTTTAATCAAGGAGTCGGCCCTTACAAACTCAGCAAAGGTTTGAATAATTTCGTGGCTACAGTGCAAAGTTGTAACCATCATCTTTATTACCATTTAAAGTACCTATAACCCCAAAAAATTTTCTTGACCATATTAAATCTCTCTATTGCACTGAGCAAAATGCCGCAAAAAATTTTGTGTTGAGTTAAAACCCCGATTTTTTATGAATTTCCAAAGTCGTGGCACGTAATTATTAAGATGGGTCTGGGTCGAGCACAGTTTGTGACGTCATTCCAGGCTTTCCAATGAGTTTGCTTCAAGGACTGGATGAAGTATCTGGACGGATATCAAGGCTGCAAATAACTAACGGGCGGTCGCCGGTCACGTTGTCAAACATGCTTTTGCTGGGACANATTGTGAATGAGCCCTTTTTTTTAAAGTTACAGTTGTGAATTTTTGTTAGAGTAAAAGAGTGGTCGGATTCTCCAGGTTTTGGGCCTTTTGCTCGCTTTTTGCACTTTGCAACAAATGCTACTTGGAGTATTCTCGATGCAACAAGATTATTCTTCGTGAGGGTGCTTTCCGATCATTCAATCGATCAAACAATCAATCACTTTATTTAAGAGTAAATGATGGTATCTAGCCAAAGGTAAAACCCTCTACTAACTGGGAACACTTAAATAAAGTAAATAAAATAACGGAAGACACGATGATTTGCGGTCGCGACAGGACTTGATGACATCGCGGAAATTTGCGACTGCCGGGACTTTCTCGACCACTAATTTGTCTACTTCTATATTGTTTTTTTTTTCTTTTGGAAACATGACTGTGTTCCTTGTGATTAGCAAACAGTTAAAAATTAAAATTTCTTTGAACGAGTCGGTAAAGGACCGGACAAGATGTCCGGCAAACCAAGTATTTGTCCGGTCAGTACCCAATTTTTACCGGACATTGTCCGTTGACCGGCCGTTATTTGCAGTCCTGGGATATGCCTGATAAGTGCGTTGTTTTCGGGTGTAGCAACACTCCCAACAAAGAAAAAAGAATAGCACTTCATCCGACACCTTTTTATGGGGCAGATGACCCGGAGGAAAAAAAAGAGAAGTAGTGGGTTGACTTTGTGCAAATGAAGCATGCACATTGGAAGCCCACAAAATACTCGGCCATGTGTTCCAACCACTTCCGAGAAGAAGATTATTCAGTCTTGTTTTCTGCTCTGACTAGCAAGACCATGCAACGAAGGTTGCGAAAAGTTGGAGTTGGAATATGCGTCTTTCCGACTGATCACGCGTGGAATCTGTTGGAGGAAACGAAATCAGCTGAAAGCGAGCGAAGTAAGAGAAAGGTGAGAAAAAAATTACCAGATCAGGCTTTAACGAAGGTTTCATCTCTTTAGGAACGTATAATATTGACTGAGATTGGATCGGAGCCCCACTGCGGATGGCCTGGAATGACGTCACTAGCCCCAGTCTCTGGTTCACTCGGTCGTTCGAAAACTAAACTCGACTTTGAAAAATCATAAAAAATCGCGGTTTTAACCAAACTCAAAAATTTTTGCGGCATTTTGCTCAGTGCAATAGAGAGATTTAATATGGCCAAAAAATATTTTGGGGCTATAGACACTTTAATCTTTAATCAGTCTACCTGTACTCCTAAAAAGTGAATGCTGTATTAGAAGTTGCAATAAAATAAATGAGAAAATTAGTTAATTACTAGATATAAATATTTACCAATGTCAAAGTTATCTTGTGCAGTCGTGAGTATTTTGAAGTAACCATATGTTCATCATCATCATCATCATTATTGCTGTTACTGGTACATGTATCTGTAACACTTAGTCGGCTATTGCTCTTTCCTAAGCGTGCTGCTCTGGAATCATGCCACAAAGGATGGGGAACATCTGTTATTGTTGGAGTTGCTGGTGCAGGACAAGAGATTTCTACCAGGCCTTTCCAACTTGTGACAGGGCGAACATGGAAAGGAACAGCATTTGGAGGTGGGCTTTACCGTAATGTATACCAACAATAATGAATGTATCAATTTTAGTCATGAGGGTTCTGTTGTATTTGAAGGTCACACACCAACCCCAGATAGATTTTATTCTTGACTCTATAGTCACGGTAGAACAAAAATTCAAGGACTGTTTGGATGCTATAGGTCATCTTGCAGTTATTTTTTTTTGTGGTATCTATTTCAACAAAATGCAGAGACTGTCATCTAAAAAGTCATTTCATTTCGCAACAGTAATAATCAGATATGCAAATTAACAGCTCACCTGTCACCTAATGCAGATTCCCATTCAGTAAATGTTACAAATATGTCCATCTCCAAAATTGCACTGCTTATGGCAGGCCAAGGAAAAAAACTTTAAGGGATTAAACCTCAAGAATTATCCTTTAAGATGATGTGTATATTGATTTGTTTATGAATACAAATAAATACCAGACCACATCCCTAGCGATATGGGTATCCCCTCTCATGTTTGTGGTGGATGACTTGGCTATTTCGTTAATCTTGTAATGAACACTTTAATCATTCCTGTTTCTTTACATCGTGTGTGATCTATGGAAAATGAAAATATTACTTGGCCACCCGTGACTGTAAAGTAGAGTGAGGAAATACTCGAATCCCTAATGATATAAGGATCTCTTTTGATACTGATTTCTCTGTATTCCTCAAGGTCAGCTATTTCGATATCTCCTTTTACTTTTTTACCGCTAGTACTTTTAGGCCCTGTTTACAAGCAGGTAGGGTAACCCTAGTGCTAGGGTTACCCTGGCAGGAGGGTTACCCTAACGCTCCCACATTTCTTCTTTTTTTCATCGACGTGTTTACAAGGCAGCTAGGGTAACCCTAGGGTAACCCACTAGGGTAACCCTAGCTGCCTTGTAAATGCTCTGCTGGGGATAACTCGCCTACCCGGGACAAACTTTCTACTTGTTTCCAGACCCTTTGAACATTGATAATGTGTGCGGTTACCAAGCATAGTTAAGTTGTCCCGGGTGGTAGAGTAACCCTACCTGTGAAATTTTGCTTGTAAACCCGGGCTATCTTTGACCCGCCTGCTAGGGTAACCCTAGCACAAGGGTTACCCTCCTTGCTTGTAAACAGGGTTACCCTCATTGCCTTTATACTTGATGATACATTTATTAAGAGGGGAGTAGGGAAAACAAATTTGGAACTTGAATAGTTTCCGCTTAATTCATTATGGGTGTCTGGAATGATAGAGCTTGCGCTTGTTAAAAGAATTTGAGATAATTTTAGTAAACAAAGTTACAAAGTTAAGTCGGTTATTTAGGATTTGTTCGCACAACGCGAAATTTTGTTTGTTTTACAAAAAAAATTGTCAACGTGAAACTATTTTCAGTGCGAACGATTTTTTTGACCCACCAAAATTTTCGCAAGTGCCACCAAACTTCAAAGATGCCGTTAACTAGCTTTGGAGGCATACGATATTTTGTCGAGCGAGAAAATCTATCAATCCCTGACAGATACCTTTAAGCTGGTGTTCATATCTCGTAATTGAACGTAGCGTAGTAAGTCATCGAATGACTCTCTCCATTCTGAAATGTCTACGGAAAAACGCTTCAGGGAAGTTAAGATTTCAAACCAAGATTCCGCAGGTCGACGGCGGCGTCGACGTCTGTTGAGCGGCTGAGTTAAGGTCTCCATGTTCCGTAAAAACCGCATCCTTCCCAGCAAAACCAGAAATAATTGTTGACCAGCCATAGTAAGGTTTTGCATGGCAAGGAAACAGCAAAGAAGGGCGATTAAGACATTTCTCGGAGGCATTTCGCTTTGCGATCAATCCTTGACCAGAATCGACACAAAGGAAACGTACTGTCATAATGAAATCTTGGTATCTATTTCGATTGATTAACATTTGTGGTACACAAATAATTCGCACGTCTGAAGTGCGAACGCTATTACGAAAAAAAAATTCGTTATTACAGAATTTTAAATTTTTTTTCAAACACTAAACCAAACTATTCGTTGTAGTTGTAGTGCATGCGAACAGGTCCTTACTCAAAGAGTTTTTCACACACCAGAGATTCACTGCTGTCAAAATACTTGTAAAAAAATCAGTGAATTTTGAATATATGAAAATCATATATGTGTACTGCGATTTCATGAAATTATGAAAGCGTTCCTCGCAGCAATAAACCCATCTTATCTTGTAGGTGGAAATAAGGCCTGTAAAACAATTCAGGCCTGCACGGGATTTGAACCTATGACTTCTGCGATACCGGTATCGCAGACTACTTTCTGACTTCTACAACAGGGTCCGAAATTAACTTTTTCCTAAGGGAGCCAACTGGCGACTAACCGAAACATTTTGGTCGCGAGATGGACGGGTTTGGTCGCCAAAAACAAGTGTTTTTTCTTTTTGTTTTTTTTGTTTCTTGCTTGCCACGCCACGATCGAATTTGGTTATTCCCGTCCTCTCTGTTGATCGTCGTTGTGTTTTCGTTCCGTTTCGGCGAAGCACTCTTAGTTGAATCTAGGTATAGAAAGAGGGCCCCCATAAGTCTTATACACAGAACTTAACAGGGTACCAGCATAGTTCCAACTAAAGGGAATAAGAGAAAGATATCCGAAACCTTCACAAGAACGTTCTTCGAACGGACAAACACGCTCACTGAGATGTAGGACTCTGTCACCGTTACACGGCTTTTGTGAATTATGTATATTGGGTTAAATGAAAACATTTTGTCGAAAGGTTAAATTTTGTGCCTTACTATAAATTAAGGTAAGTTATACCATGGGTTCCAGAGCGATTACGTTTTCTTTAGTTTGCGGCAAATTCAGCGGCGAAGCCGCGATCGTGGCGTGGCAAGCAAGAAACAAAAACAAAAAACAAAAAAAACACTTGTTTTTGGCGACCAAACCCGTCCATCTGGCGACCAAAATTTTTAGGTTAGTCGCCAGTTGGCTCCCTTAGGAAAAAGTTAATTTCGGACCCTGTTGTAGAAGTCAGAAAGTAGTCTGCGATACCGGTATCGCAGAAGTCATAGGTTCAAATCCCGTCAAGGCGTGATTTTTTTTCAGGCCTTATTTCCACCTACAAGATAAGATGGGTTTATGAATAGCAAGAGGACGAGAACGTCAGTTGACAACGGCGCGCGCAGCAAAAATACCGGTAAGAAACTGGGTCGAGAACGTCGCCCCGTTGTGTTTCAGAAGTGATTTAGCAGTCGTTACAACGAGACGCCAGCGCAATATCTGTTCTTCAATAGCCTAAACTCGGCTTTTAAAAGATCGCCAACACAAATTTTAGCTTTCACAAACAGCTTTAAGGAGAACGAAACTATCCTCTTTGAGAGTGATGCAACAAGCGCAAACAGAGGATAATTATAGTTACGGAAAGTTAGATGTTTATGATATACGAACCACATGGGTGGTTAAACTCTCTAATTGATCCATTCCAGGTAAGACTCGTGTATGGTGATTCCTGTATCGAATTTTAGAGCCCATTAGATATTTTTTTGCGATTTGTGTTGCTGTCTTTTCGTTTCGTGCTATTAGATTTTAGCACTGCCCATCTTCGCAATTTTTACAAAGTATAGTTTGGAAATCATCGTTTTTCCCCTTGTTTACTGAATATTTCTGTTCATTCATGACGGTACATCTCTTCTGAACATTGAATACTTAGAGGTACAAAACATTTTGAACGGGGTTATGGCGAAACCAAGTAGAAACCAAGCGACCGAACGACAAAGTCGTTAATGATGAGTTCTTGTTTAACGCTGAAAGAATTAATGCAAGTCACTCCTGAAACCGCTAGGCTTGGGGTAAGACTTGGTTTCGGTTTTTTGTTTGTTTTGTTTTGTTTCTTCCTTTTTCGACGAAGTTGTTCAAGACTGAATTAAATTACTTGATTTAGAAAGTCGTGTCGAAAGAGAATTGATTGTCATTTTCTTTTGTTGCTTGAGCACGACTTTCTTGCTTTTATCGGCGCTGATTAAAAGAATTTAAGACATAAAAAAGTGCAAACCCGAGAAAATTCTCAAATTGTTTATCTCTGACTTCAATCCACAAAGCATTCATTTATGATCGGTAAAAACGACAACGACAACAAATAAAGATAAAAATTTTACGGTATGTAAGCTTCGTGATTGTTCATTTGATTGACCGCTCCAAACTTCAACATGCAGCATAGTTATTGATGAATCGATTTACGATAAAATTCAACAGCATCCCATTCTTAGAGTTTTCACAGAGGCTTAAAGAAATATATTAAAGAAAAGCGCTTTTATTGTCTAAAGTCTTGCTCATTCAAAAGCAATCTGAGTCCTGAAATCTTGGATCGCTTACAAACGATTGTGTTCCAATTTCCTTTCGGAAGCGACAAGTTTTCAAAAATACACCGATTAAAACAAAGAAAGGGACCCAATTATCCTGAACATGAGTATTGAAATACTTCCAAACAGTGTTATCTCATTTGGATCGATTTACAAGTGTACAATTGACGGAAATCTCAGACGTTCTGATCGCGGCGGGAAAACCAGCGAAGTGACGTCCTGAACTTGTTTGAGAGAACGGCAACGCTAACACCGGAAGTCGAATGGTGTCGTGTCCAGACTATTGCGTGCGCTCTCCCGTTCTGAAATGACGTTCCCGTCCTCTTGCTAAATCTCTCTAATGTGCTAGTGCCAGGCCCTCACACTCTTATTGCTCGAACCGGTCCCCACCTAAGTCGATGGCCAACCTCGATGGCCACGATAAAAGATATTGAGATAATAGAGACACACTTTTTCTCTTTGTACTGGCAATCGAACATTTATCTAAGTCGCTGAAACATTTCAGAGCGGATGTTTCGTCTCCTGAGAGCAGCAAATCACGAAATGATCGTAAAGAGCTGATAGCCATCTTTCGCACATGTAGTACTTGGTAAGACAACACCACAGCTCGTATTTCAAAACTGCAATTTACAGGCATTTAAGTAAAGTATTAAGGACTAAGCGCACGTGATTCCGCCGACGCTTTCGATCTCGT